ATGTGTCATTCAGGGTATCTAACCATCGAGTATTACGTCTCGCAGACCCCAACCAGGTAGTCGACAACTACCGACATGACTCAGTCCACTCGTCAATGACTTCATCGATTTGTGCCATGTTTTGGTTTGGCCGCCCCTAACTTTCTTCCAACCTATTCCTACACTACAAAACAAATCTCGTCGAGGCAGTCGGTGGTTAGGCATACGCAACACATGTCCCAACCACCTCAACTGATGAAGTTTCAATACTTCATCTATTGATCTGCCATTCTTACCTAGCACCCGTTTCCTAATAACAGCGTTCCTCACTCGGCTGTCCCAGGATATACGAGCAATGTTTCGAAGACACCTATGATCGAAAACCAATAACCGACGAGTATCTTCTACTCTCACTTGCCATGTTTCGCATCCGTATAGTAGGACGGAGCGAACTGCTGAACAGTACACTCATCCTTTAGTCAGCAAACGAATATCTCGCCTACACCATAAGTGATGCCTTTCTAAACAATCAAAACCTGATTTAGGTGTTAACAACCTAAACAGAATACACTGGATCCAATGTACTCACAATTAATTTCACCGAGTGTTTGTCTATGACACACCACTCGGTTTCCCGAGCCGGAGTAGATCGATTGACATTCGAACCTGGAATTTAATCGCCAAAAAAATTAAACGTCATAACCATTGGGCTACGACTCCACATGAACCTTATAACATTCTGCTACAACAACTGTTGCTATTAGTTTATTGACATTTGAAAGTGGCTGGTGGATGATAGTGAAATGACTTCGTTTGATATGAGTGTTTTCAATTCGCTCAAAACAATGCTAATATGTATTTATAGAACGTTATTTCTAAATAAATGTATTACCTAAAAAAAAAAACAATAAACCCACCAATTATGCTTTTTATCCAATATTGTAATGTTTTTTTTATCAACCTATATTATTCTATTAACCATAAATAAAAAACACAACTCTCTAAAAAAAATGTACACATTGAGTTTTGGGCGGGACTTAGCTTGCAAAACTCCAAGTCAACTAGTGAATCAACCATTAGCAACATAGAGAAGACCAATAGATATGAGATGATTCAATTTTTCATAACATATTGGTACAAATAGATGAAATCAATGAGATAAATAGCAATAGTAGTAGTAGTAGTAGTAATGATAATGAGTAAGCCTAAAACATTAGGAATATGAAATAGATCATTAATACTATACCAAACAACCAATAAAATCAACTGAAGAAAATTGAAATATAAATACTATCCATCAATTGGTCACAAATGCACAATATTGATTAAAGAGTGAATTGTATTAATTAATATTGCTTTGAACTAGTAGTTTAACTAAATTACGGAGGGATATAATCAACGAATCAGAATGAAATAACTTACCCAAATGTCGAATTTACCAGGATAAAGACGTTCAGGTATACGTAGTGCATAAATAGTAGCTCCGGATATATAAAGTACAGCCATAAGAACTAGCCATCCAAGTGCAGAATAATTGACACCTTCTTGAAAACCTTCTATCATAATATAATGTACACATGGAATCACTCCCGACAGACCAAGAGCAATAAACAAAACTGAAATTTAAAATGATCAGTTAGTTAAGTAAATAATTAATACTGGATAAAATGAACGTATAGTAATCATAATTTAATGTTATCATCCGTAATGTGTAATTACAAAATGACGGTTACCATAGCTACGTATCTGAATTGACAAAAGTAGGTAAGTGTGAATAAAAGTGGTTTAAGGTCGAAGTGAGTACATCGAATTTTAAAAGTACACATCTACAGAATGCGTCAGAATATTTTGAACATTGAGATAATCAAATTTAAATATAACCATAATTTGGTACGGCTAGGTATAAATGAGTTTATTAACCCGTGCAACTAACATTCTACACAACAAAATGTATACACTCTAAAAATAAACACTTTATTCAAGTTTGTCTTCTCAATAGTAAGATATGAAAACATTACTATTTTCCTAGATATTGTTATCAGCAACATATATATATATCAGTCAGAGTCAGTCAGATGCAACGTAGAACTTCGTATGTAAGTACATCAGTTCATGTCGCCATACCACACATCAGCACAGAGATGTAATTGTCAATTCAAATCCAATAGTAGAAGAGGTAGTAAAGGTATGAGAAGTAATTGGAGAGGTTAGGATTAGAAGATATTATTCAAAAAGTATGATTCAGTGAGATAAGTTTACAAAGACAAAATTAGAGGTGTTAAAGAATCCAGAAGATTAGGATTTGAGAGAACACAAAAACTGAATGCACCGGCGCCATTGCAAACGATTTTGAGCCATGTCATTCAAGGTCTCTAACCATCGATTATTATCATCTCGAGGACCCCAACCAGGTAGTCGACAATTACCGACATGGCTAAGTCCACTCGTCAATGATTTCATGGATTTCTGCCAAATATATATATATATATATATATATATATATATATATATATATATATATAGCAGAAAGCATCTGAAAACCAGCTTAAGATTAGAACTAGTCAACTAACGTATTATAGACATGTCTCACTAGTCAGTAAAAGACATAATTTTGCACATAATTTGTAAGCATGACGTTTCAAATAAACTGAAGAATTAAGTATGATTCGATAAAATTTTCTTATAATCTGTTAAGGATATAGCCCCACATTTGTACTCTTTACCAACAGATTGAAGTGCAGTTTGATCATTATCAAAATAATAGTAATTCTGATTAATTTGTTTTTATTAAACTTTAAAGAATTTCTTTCATCATGTGAACTGATCAAATCAAGAACTGCAATCGATATATTGGAAAATAATCTCATCTATATATATAGCTAAATCTTCAATGAACCTAAATATCGTTCAGCAAAAATCCTTGAGAATAATTTATAAATAGATTAGCTGAAATTGGTTCTTGATTATTAAACCTGTGAAATATCTTTTATCTCGTTTAAGACTACATAGCCAACATCAATTCCACAAACAAGTTTTTAACTGGATTTTTTTCTAAAGTTCATCTACTTATGTAGGTTTTTCGTCAATGTGCTGTAACCTACCATGACGTGGTTAGTGACTTCTTGAAACTAAATACTATAATTGTTAATAAATTTGGTAGGATTCAAAGCCAAGAAATCACTACTAACTATTGGTACATAACTTGACCTCTTTTCACACCAACCAATCCAAGCTGTTAATTTGTACATTTCTAATCAGCAGTTCTTTCGCTTTATTTGTGTAACTCAAGTGCCCAATAATTTGGTTACAAATATTTACAGTCTACTGGCATTATTTCATCCTTACTGTTAACCAATTGATTATCTCTACCACTGTTATTATAACAAAATTCATATCCTGACAGGACTCACTAGAATAAATATCGTTGACTGACAATGCTGGTAAACTTGAAAACACTTTAAGATGAATAAAAGTGGTTTTTAAAAAATAAATTCTCCCCTCTAGTTTTTCATGGATGAAACGTTCTAAACATTGATTAATAAAGCTATAGAACATTCACCTACAATTTGATTACGTCAAATAATAAAATATAGAACGAACATTATCCTTGAATAGATTAGGGCTTCAAGACACCGGAGAAGAATGACAAAATACTAATATATATATATATATATATATATATATATATATATATATATATATATACACTTCTGTCACTCTTTTTCGGTCATTTGGAATTGACAGGCACTTGATATTCCAACAATTATATAATTATATCATAGATACAATAGAATCACATAACTTACGTGCTCTAGCTGAACGATACGTTGGTCTTAGAAAATAATCTTGAGTACATACAAAGGCGCAAAATCCACCAAGTATCAACACAGCCGAAATATAAACAACTTTAAACGGAAAATAACAATAGAAAGAATAATGAATCCAAGGGACGAATGATCCGATAACAAGTAATGATATTCCAACGTAATCCAATCTACAAAAACAGAAAAAAATGTTTGTTGTTGTTCTTATAATAACTCTTAAATATTTCATTTACTTAAATCTGAAAACAAAGTAAACATTTAAGGCAAAAATCATACATATTAGGTCTGTTGGAAAAATCCAAAGATGTTTAAAAGCTTACTTACTTAAACAAGTAATGAAATTTTGGAACATGAATGAATGGAGCTTTACTGAAATGAATTACTGATTTATCCACTATTTAACAACTAGATTCAATAGCAGTTCATCACTGCTACACAAGCGTACGTATATACATACATATAGAAGAAATAATGCAAAGTATCAGGAATGCTATGGAAAAATGCCATAATCAAACGTTCTTCAAATCCATTGCATGAAAATAACCTTTCTTGAAGAGACAAAACAATATTAGGACTAGAAAACTCTGGAAGTATATTTGATATAGATGTTTGTAACTTTCTGTAAGCATCTCGCACAGCTATAACGAAGTGTTGATAGCCACCCTTTACAGTGAATTGAAACTAACTATGAGAAAGAATAGTGACAAGTGGTTAGGTATGAATTAATAAACCAAGCGTGTCAACAAAGCCCTTTGAGACTTTGTTAGAAAACAGAGTGTCTTACAATTCGATGAGACGGTACATGACTAAATCGTGTAAATATTATTAAAGCCATAAAGATGCATTGATTAAGAGTAATGTCATATCGTATTTAATAAACTAAAGAATTGGTTAAACTTCTCCGGCTGTACGAGTGTAGGTAATAAGCTAAATCGTGTCTACTAGCAGCGTTAAAACCAGTAACCGAACGTCTAAACTAAACTGGGAAAAATTGATACAAACTTAACTCATCAAATAATTGTCAGAAATCTAAGCAAACGAGATAAAGTTACACCTTTAACGTCAAACTAACACTATTCTATTTACTGAAATTCATCAAATCTGAACTCGCAAACATTATGTTGCTGAAATATAATAAAGATATATTCTGAAAATTAAAGAAAACTTACTTGTTGAATAATTTACCAACACGCTCCGAATGGCAGTAAACTGTATGAAACAACCATGAAAAACCAAGTGCGAGGATGGCGCTTATAAAAAATACCTGTACGATCATTTTCTCTTGCCAATGTATATTTAGATCCGGGTGAACTAGAAATAAGATACTTAATACCAGAAAACAAATGAAGCCTAGAAAAAAGTCAGAAAAGTTAGAAAATCTATCAGAGAGCTCAGTTGATGATATTTCAAAACTTTACTAAATGAACGAAAATCCAGATTCAAAAACTATACACGGAGGTTAGACAATGAACATATTATAATGATCCCACAGCTAGTAATAATGTTTTAAACATTTTCACATTTCCTATAGAAACTGACACTGAATAGGACTTCTAGTTGTAAAATATATGGAACAAGGTTCAGGTCATCGACTTTATTACTACTAAATGCACCTAAATATGAGCATATGGGGTGAGATATCCGTTGAGTCAATAATTACTGAGTAAAGGCTAATCAGTAGTGACATGAGGATTGAAAATAGACCCACAACCTGACAGTGACAAATACTAAACAGTCCGCTCAAGATCGAATAAGGTTACACTAGGGAAGATAATAATTCAACCTTTTGAAAGGCTATGATCAATAAGAAACGCCTTTACATGTGTATGAATTATGCGTCTAACGTTAAACATAAATGCGATTTAGTTATTATTTGGAAATATTTTATGGCATTTTACTTTTTCACTTCAAAGTAACGTCAGTCAGTCAGATGCAACGTAGAACTTCGTACGTAAGTACATCAGTTCACGTTACCATACCACATTAGCACAGAGATGTAATTGTCAATTCAAATCCAATAGTAGTCGAGGTAGTAAAGGTCAAAATAACGTACAATATATTTAGTTATTCGAATTTTATGTGGAACCACTTTTTAAAAACGATGATCTTAGCATAAACACAGCTAAAATCCGTTCAGTTTTCTAAATGATGAGATACAAAACCTGTAAAACCAACGATGTTTTCTATGGTGTTTCGATTTGAAACGATGTTTACCAGATGTATGAAAAATCGATAATGCGGTGAATAAATAATGGTAAGACTTAATGCATAAGTTGCAATCAAATTTAAATAAATTGAATAAAAATACTAACAAACAAAACACAGATGACTTACCGATGAGATGTGTCCAAATATTTCCTGTTTCCGTATGGAGCCGAAAGATAGAACGGAAGCATTCGCGAAATGACGGTAGTTGTGGTCGGTGACCCCGAAGAAGAAAATCATTATCTCTTAACCAGTGTGGTAAGCTATGGTGGTGAACTACTCTCCAACCTTTTTTCCAAAGGTGGATAACCAATTCTTCTGCTTGTTCTACAGCTCTGCTAGCGGCCTCTCCAATCCCGTGGGCTGCAAAAGTAAAGTAATCACCACCATAACTAGCAGATCTTCGATGTGCACACAAAGGAGAGTGGTTTGCTTTGGGGGCAGATAATGATTTTAGGTCTGTAACGGAAGAATTTAGATCCCAAGACAGTTGCGGCGTAAAGGTAGTGGTTGTTAGTTGGTTTGAAGAATCACTGGGCAGGCATGACTCCGGCAAATTTCGTTTTCTCACACCAGACAGTGGTATCCAGTCTGTGTCGGTCTGGTTTGATATCAAAGGGTCACAGGAAGATGATGAAACGAGACAGGCAGACCCCTCAGAACGCATTCGTCTGTGCTTACTACGCAAGTTTTGCACATTATCCTACACAAAAAGAATAACTAGTTGTAATTTTATGCAATATTTACGCATTCAGAAGATACATTGCGAATATTATGCGGTAAGTAGTCTGATGGTCTAAAGTGATTCTCCATCATTGGATGAAGACGCACAAATACCCCGCTCAAGTCAGCTGATTGTGGCTCGAAAATTTTCAAGTGTCTTGGTCCAGCATAACAAATGCACATTTACATAACGTAACGGATTCATTTGACGCGAAGTTAGGTATCACCAGATATTCCCTAGAATATTTATACTTGTTTTTCCCATTCAATGTGAATAAATATCTCGACTACTTAGAAAACACGTGGCGGGAATTGCAGCGGAAGTCTTCCGTGTCACACATCTAAATTCCAACCCTTTATTCCAGGGCTTGTACCGTGAATGGATGTTGGCTACAATAGTTGGTTTCGCTGTTATTTATTCATAAAATTATTGATTTTTCATACTGAATTACTTCTATTAGTCTTCGTGGAAGCTTCTGACTAACGGTAAGCACGGCTGGTAAACATCGTTTCAACTCGTAAAACATGTGCAGTGAAATTCGCTAAATCTTTGGAAAATCTAGGATGCTTTTCGCCGGGTCCTAATGATTTACATGTATCAAGCTTGTGTAAAATATCGATGACAATGAGTTCCTAAATGACCACTGTGTCAAGAGTGTGTATAAAGCGGTTTATATGAACCAGGAGAGGCACTTCTATAGAATATACACCACTAAAGTAAAGTGATAAGGCCTGAGTCTAGTATAATCATCTTTCACCACTGATGTAATACTACTGTCTCCTCATAATCCTAGCATGTTGCCTTGCCTGTCGGTCCGTTGGTTTAAGTATAAGACAGGCATTGCAGGATTTCATTTGTAATTCTATAACAGTAAACACAATACTGGCGAGCACAGAGTCTGTGGTAAAGCTATTGTAAAAATGAAGTCAACTTGGTTTTAAAATTTATCTGTTTCTAAACAAAAAAAACGATTAAATTAGTACAATAAATAAGGAAATTACAATTATCAAGTAAGACGAGCAAACGTACCGACCAGTATAGCGTGTCTTTAGAAAATGAATAAAAACATGAGTCACATCGATATAATAAAATAATAACGTCCTTCAATCAATAGGTCATTTACAGCAATGAAGATTTACAGACCGGTCAGACTAGATAACGTGGTGAGCGCTTAAACCACAATCTGATTGGTTAGTTGTGGCATAACTACAATTAGTTATAAAACAACTAACAGGCATTTTGTGTATTCTGTAAACTTTTCCTAGCTTCTCTTCATGCAATCTTCTAGACTTGCAGAGGTTGAGTCACAAATGTTCCGGACTGCCCGATAGTGAGATTTCGTCTCGTCAGTTCTATATGTCCTAAATTTCTCCAACATTCAATTAATTTTACGCTGAAGGGTGCGAGCTTCCTTTCTCAGCCACAGTAAGGCAGTTCCTGGGTTCCTTGGTATAGTCCAAGGAATGTGCAGTGCAGAAACTTTTATGTACCAACTTCTGAATACACCTCAAGCTGTTTCAATGGGAAATTCTGGTTCTATGGTTGACTCTACTGAAGTTGATGAACGTGTGATTTCCCCCAAACATTCGGTCTGGCCGGAGCTGAAATATCGTTGTGGAAGACGATAAGGAAATCTGAGATTAGAACTGCATGGTCACTCTTATCTAGGGGTGACATATAATAAGGGTTTGATATTTTTGCCTCATAACGGGTTAATATGATATCTGTTAAGCACAATTTGAAGCCCGGATTGTACTTAATTGCTTCGTTTACATGTTGCACTTAGGCACCTGTAACAACCGTGTCGGGTAGTTTCTTTTGGAAAGAATTTTCAAATAACTCAGTGCTTGAATCTCCCCGGTCTATCGCAGGTGAACTCAGGTCCCCTAAAGTTAAACATTGAACAATTAAAGACCAGGTATTCAGCTTATCGATTGAGATCTCAGTCACCTCACTCGTTCTGCCGTAAAAAATTAAACCAGTCGGAAGCTCGATTTTTTCACTTTACGTGGTAAATAAATAATTCACACGTTACATTCTAATGGTATATATCGTAGGTAACGGCAAAAGGATTAGTATTTCTAATGATTAATGTTACTCTTCTAGATTCTGCCTACTTCAATAATGTGAATTTTTAAAAATCGAGTTCTGTCATCTACTAACTGAGTCAGCTATGTTTCTGTGATGGCAATTAGGTCTGGCTTAACTGGGTCTACCTCTACGCCTAGCTACGATTATTTGTTGAGTAAGCTCCTAGTATTTGTGTAGCAGACCTGAAGACCAATTTAACAGCTATGTGCTGCATCCAAAATAGCTTAGACACCATTCTCTGTCTAAGCCTCATCACCCGATAATGCGAAATTCCTAGGTCATTTTCGCTAGCATTTTACTTTAGGTTTAGCTGTTTTTCAGCCTTTCGTTTTCGAAAACGGTCAGAAATTTATAAGTATTTGCAGACAAATACTCCTGATTCCTGTCGGTTATATCCGACCTATAATACTAGGTCCATTTTACACGGATACTTAACTGCTACATTTGGCAATCTAGTTTGACTTCGTCGTAAGTCCATTGAGCTCCCTAGTATATACATTTTGAGCACGGTGACCTCAGGAACCTCTTGATGCACTCACGTATTTAGTAAACCTTTCATCAACTTAATATAGTGCTCGGAGTGAATTTCGGACTCAGACCTTTAACTCTCCGTTAATAAATGAAAGATATCTGACATGTCACTATGGTCAGTCCTTTCCTTCGGAATTGCTTTTGTGGTAGCTGAAAGTTTTTGACTACACTTGATCGTTTCTTTTTTTAAGTTTTTTACCCGTTCATCAGCTTTAAATGGCGTGACAATCACAGCGGAGTTGCGCGCAGTGTGATATCCTAGGTGGTTGACGACGACTTGCGTCGTCGGATTACTTCTGCTGTAGTAAAACCTAGACTAGTGACCACATTCCACAGGCATTGTCAAGAAAATTAAGAAACATGTTTTCAGTGTTTCTTTTCCTCATGGACCTCTTTGAGGTTAGTCTTTCCTGTGGTGGGGTTCCGTTCTCTGAGCTGAATGTTATGGTTGTGTTTTTTCCCCTCTGATCCGTCTAAGTTGTTCGGCCCTGTACTCCAGTATGACATATGTACCCCCAGGCTTCACCGACCCCCCTCGAATCTTGGCTCGGAAACAGCCATGAGAATAGAAGGTTTCGTACCAAACGCAAGTGAGTTGGCGAGTCTCAACATCGAGAGTTTCAAAGGGGACCATACTAGATCAACTTCTTTTCCTGATATTCATTAACGATCTGGATGTCCACCAGAAGCGAAGAGGATTCGACTGAGCTTGAAAAGGGCCTTACTTCCACTGAGGAATCGGCAGTGGAAAAAATTCCGAAACTACACCAGTCGGAATGTCACATTACATACATTCTGCCACACGTGATACAAACAACTGACACCCTCAATGGAAGTCCGCTTGTTAACGTATCCGTTTAGCCACCACAGAAAGCACCAACACCAATTCGGACAACTTGGTGTTAAACATCAAAAGTATCCCTAACGTTGCTTAAGTCATACGCACGCCCACATTTGAAGACTTACATAGTCGTCACTCCCATTCTCCTTAAAAATGATATAAATCTCTTGGATCGAGTGTCGAGACGAGCAACCAAATAGGCGATAGGGTTGAAGAATAAAACTTCGGCATTTGAGTTTATTCTCCCTGAGTTACAGGAGAGTCAGAAGTGATCTGATGATGGCATCACCACCACACCCCTCGGAGGCAATCCTTGGAAAACTGCATATCAAAGAGTGAACACCCAGGTTCGTGCGCTCTTTTCCTCATCAACAGTTGTCATAACTTGAAATGCTCTCCAAGCCGAGGTAATCACAGCCCTACCAGTGGACAGCTTTCAGAAGAGACCTGATAACCATATACTCACATATGGATCATCATCTCCCTCTTGAACAATCTGTGCATAATGCATTTCTTGAGATCTGCTAGTTGTTATCATTGCCATCTTCACAGATCACTCAGTTATTCTATTTTGCCTATTATCTCTGTTTCCTCCTCATTGCTTACACTTCGGTCCTCTCTCACAATCTTCATTACCAATTAATAAACTTAATTATCTGTATATTACTTAGTTCTGAAATCTTATTCATATTAGCATTAGAATTTTATCCTTATTATCCTTATTATACTCCATATTGCAACTAACTGATCTCCAGTCTGATAATGTGATAGCTGTGGGTATCTAGAAACCCTACTGCCTTGAAAAAAACGTATTCAGGCAAATCACGGGACATACGACTTCACAAACAAATACTAATTGACTAGAATTAGTGCAGTCGAGTGGCTAGACCTCCATCCATTGGAAACTACCAAATACCTGGAACGGTACCGAAAGAACAAGAATCGAGCGCAAAGAAATCAACTGGCTTATACTAGCTCGTGAAAAAGATATTGGATATTAGGAGCTCGCAGGCCTTGAGACTTAAAGTGTATTTCAGTCTTACACTTTAGGGTCGAAGAGATACGCGGCACATTTGATGGAGTTTCGAGAGGTACTTGCCTTAGCTAAGAAAAAACAAACTCGACATGATGATGAGGTAGTTTTCGATCTACTCATGTCTGAATTACTAAGGTTAAACGTATTGAAGAACAAACAAAGCGACGTGAACTCGAGAAGAAAAAGCAAATGGAGATTGCGGACAAGTTGAATCGCATGTTCACCAAACCTACACTTTTGCCCACTAATAATGTAAAGATCCCGAACCATAGTAACGCTAATAAATCTCTTTCTTTTGCAACTACAGCGAAGGATCCAACACTAAAATCTCAAACATTCATTTCAAACACGACTTCAGTGTGCAAACCTGATAAGACAACTACCTGTAAAGATACAACAGATGGAAAAGTTGTTAAAGCAGCCCTCAAGTCACCGAAAGATAATGTCGTATCGTGCCCCACAAAGCCTGACTGCAAGAAAAATGGTGATATTCAGTCAAAGCCCAACCGACTTTCCTTCACAGAAATGATGGAACTGGCTAAAAAAAACGTACACCACACTCTAGATAAGAAAAGACCGTTTGACGATCTTATTCCTTGTTCTGTAGATTCCAAATACCGGAAGTTAGACTCTAGTCTTGTTGACAGTTCCAAACCCATTCCTAATGCTTTAAAAAATGTGTCTAAGCCTAAGTCACACGTGGGATCAAACCTACCAGAATCTTTGGTTCCCCAAAAAGCAAAGTTACCAAAGCTTTCCAACTCCATTGGTTCGAAGGGTTTTGATAAAACAGACCGCGGAAGCGTGATGGAAGAAGTTGTCCAACATCTTGAAAAAAGCAACCGAGTTCCTTACAAACCGCTCCATAAGAATAACTTATCTGGTCAACGTACTACCAATCTAAACCGTCCCTCAAAACTAGAAATGACTGACTCCAAATCTTCAGAGCTGACTAAGACATCAAAAATCAATCCACTTAAAGAATGCAAAGCACTACCTAAAAGTTCCACTAATTCAAAGTTGGTAAATTCTAATTTTGTTAATAAAGGAAAGTCAGTAACTGCACCATCTAAAAAAATAGTCTCCCGAACGTCTGATAATGTAAAAGCTCCTTCAACGAGAAACTTTCCGGCGTCAAATAAAGATGCTATCAAGAACGTTCACATGAACAGTAACCAGAAATCAAAAGAAAATCCTCAGTCTAGAAGTGTTGATAACAGAACCCAAAGGACAGGTATAGCTGCACAGTTAGGCATAAGCTTCCAGTCTCAAAATAGCGCCAATTTATCCGTCTCTGATTCTGCTGAAGATGATGAGTATATGAGTGATGATAGTTTCATAGATGACAGTGAGGCACTCCAGTCAAAAGAGTACGCTCGAGTCGTTCGTGATATCCATCGTGCTTTGAAGTTTGATCCTCGGAAGTACAAGGATGTCAATCCATATGAAGATCTACGGTGTATGGAGGCAAAATACTGTGATATAGAAAAAGAAGAACGTAGAAGGTAAGCTATTACATGTATAATGTTTTGCGTAAAATAGTTCTTTTCCTACTTTCCATAAATAAGCAGGAGAACTCGTCAAACATGTTCTCCATACCATTTGTATATTTGTATTTGTTGATTGTGACCACTTCAAACAAACTCACCAACAAATGTGGTGATTATGGGTCATCAGAATAAAGACTAAAGTTTGGGAAACCACTTACCCGAGACCAGGTTCTACGTTGATTATGACGGATTGATTTTGAGCCACTCTCTTGCCTTAATGGTCAGGCTTGACTATCATGTGACCCAACTGAGCTATATTGGTTGGAAAGCTTGTTGCCATCTTACCGCGATAGGTGTTTAGGTTGAATAGTAGCAAGACCAAAAAGATCAGCTTAGGGACAAACATGTCAGAGAATCCTCATAAAAGGTTCATCTCTGACCAGCCGTAGGTACTTGTCGCTTGGGCTCCGTTGTCCCAGTTATTCAAGACTGCTGACAACTCAGTCTTCTAGATACTTCATGGAAAATACTCTTTCACTCAACTAACAGTACTCAAGACTTCATACCTTTCTAGTCTCTATTATTCTGGGATCATGTTCTCTATTGCTGTTCTGTTACTGATATCATCAACTTTAGTACTCATCTTGATAGCCCCATATCTCTGTGCCGATTTTCCATAGCAGATTGAGCCTATGCATATGTCCGTTCCTGCTTTAATTATCACTGACGGACAAGATTCATACTTTCTACTATTCTCCATACAACTCCAGAGCATTCCATTACTGTAAGCGTTCCGGTACCTTATTCACTTATGTATTTTAGTTAATTTTCGCTCTGTAGCTGCTGTCTACTTCAGTGTGTATGATTTTATGCAATATCGTCCATAGGTTTTTCTTTATCACAGTTTTCAGCTAGCCAGTTAGCAACAGGTACTTGCAAGTTGTACTGGAGACGTGCCTCTATAATTCCCATGATTAAGTTTGTACTGATGATAAGTACATAGCATGAAAAAAACTAGAAGTATACTACCCAAATTATTCTCCGTTAAACATATTTATTCATCATCCTTATCGTATTTGTAGTGATGTTACCTGTAGAAAGACTTCCTATATTGAGTATACGGAAAACAGTAGTCAACTTCCCGATGATACGCAAAATATGCAGATGCTATTTATTTATGCTTGTCACTCCTCGTGGGGCATAAGCTGCCGACCACGATTCTCTAAGCAACTCTGTCCTAAACTCTTCATTAAAGTCGTTACCAAGTAGCTATTCATTCTTCTAATGTATGACCTCAATCCTTGCGCCATGGTTACTTTGGTTTGTTTGCCTTACTTTTAGGTTGGGGATTCTAACTTGTGTTTTAGTTTAATGGTTCTCATAAAGTGTGCCCTATCCGTCTCCAGCATTTATTCCTTACTTCAGGTGGAAAAGGTAGTGGCAATAGGTAACAGTAGACAACTATTCAAACTTATCAAGGGAACCAGTATTAAAAATCTAACTGTTGGCGAGACTGTTTTGGAAAAAGATAGGACTATTATTCATTATCATTCTAGGAGCTTGGGTCGAAAGGCAGAGCACTAGGGAGCAGTCCAATTGGCCTTCAGCCACATTTCGGTTACCCACGATCTCCAGTCAACCTGGATGGCAAGTTGTTGTATGTCCTCCGGCTCTTAATGAGGTCAAAACGGCTATAGGAAATCTAAAGCAAAGGAGAGCAGCGAGCCCTGATAGGTTAACCCCTGATATTTTTAAGGATTGTGGTTCACTTTTAGCAGGCAGATTTACTGAGATATTAGGCAGGATCTGGGAAATAAATGTAATCCCATCACTGATTGTTCCAGTCCATTAGAAAGGACAAAAGTCCTCTTGTGACAATCACAGAGGAGTCGGTTTGATTAATATAGTGTCTAATATATTAGCTTCAGTTTTACTTCGATGCCTAACTAGAGCTCGTGAAGAGCAGATTCGAGAAAGTCAGAGTAGTTTCATACCTGAACGTGGCTGTATATACCATATACACACATTGTCAGGTCCTAGGACATTTCCGACGTCCAACAATAGTTGTTCCCTTACCGTAGCTGCTACTTTGACGTGGTTGTCAGGCTTGCCGATTGTGATGACCTATAATAGTTGTATTTCTCGATCTTAAGGTGGCGTTTGACTCTGTTGACCGTGAGGTTCTGTGGCAGTGTCTGTCATTGAAAGGAGTACATTAACCTTGTACAGGCTCTCCACTCAAACACTTCTGGTTGAGTGAGAGCCTGTGGTGAACTGTCACTAGAATTGATTACTTTAAATGATATTTGTCGGAGCTGTCCATTTTCTCCATTCCTAATTTGCTTTGTCATCGACATTCTTTTAGAGACAACGCTTTCATCGTCTCACTTTCCAGAAGTTGATCTATCACGAGATCCACTTGTTGACTTAGAATATGCCGATGACATATTTGTGTTTGGTAAAGACGCTGACAAAATGCAGAGTTTTCTGACCACCTTAAACAACAATACAAGTATGTATGGGATGCGATCCTCCTCCGAAATGCAGAAATGTTGCTTCAAAGATTGGCTTGCGTCGGCACCTGAATTAGCGATAGGGAGTGAAGTAGTTGAGCATGTTGACTGCTTCGCTTATCCTGGCAGTCTCACCAGTGCTGATGCCCTACCATCGACTGTCTCGATGAGCAATGTCCGATGTAGGGGAAGGCTGAAAGAAAGCTAGGGGTTACCAAACCAAAACTGGCACGAAACTATAAAAGTCACCCACAAGTGAACTGAGCCATGATGGTATGTGTAGACTGCTTGGTTAGAGTCCGCGAGACATTCGTAATCGGTGGTTAGAGACTGAGTGACATGACCCAAAATCGTGCGCAATGGCACAGGTGTATCCACTCTTTATTTTCTCCCAAATTCTAGTCTTCTAAATTCCTTATCACCTTTACTTTTCTTTTAAGTTTATTTGACTGAATTATACTCCTTGAATAACATCTTCAAACCCTAATCTTCCCAATTACAACTCATACTTCTACTACCTCTACAACTATGGGATTCAAATCAACAGTTGCACTTCTGTGCTAAGATGGTATGGCAACTTGAACTGATGTACGTACGTACAAAGTTCTACATTGTAGCCAACTGAGTGACAGATATGATTGATTTAGTTCTCTGTAGTGAAGCCCATGTACTTTTGTTTCATCCATAACGATTGTGTTAAAAGCATTTAGATTACCAAGCCTCACCATTTTCCTGTCTTTCACCCAGTCCTTATCATCCTATCATATTTTCCTACCACATGCTGTTCCCGTTACCTTGATGTAATAGTCGGGTTTGCCTATCGTGATTACCCGACCGAGCTACATTGGCTTGAACGTATGTTATTTTAGGTCCTATCATACCAGGTAGGTCGATTGGAGAACGGTAACACTAAAAGCAGCAACTTAAGGTGTCAGGGTGAAATCGTACTGTTGACTGTATAGGGTTATGGCAGTAGCAAGGTGTTTCCCTTGGACAACAAACATCTGCAGCGATACTGTCTTTTCACAATGGAAGGAAGGGGTTAAAAAAGGTTGACTATAAAAATGTCACACTTCACTTTATCCCACGGGTTTCCATCTCCCGAAGTAAGGCCTTTTGAAAAATGGAACTAACATGTTAGAAACAAACAGTTGTCCCTTGGGCTCTACGGTCATGCTCCTAGGTCGCCAAGATAAACAGAACCTAACTCCCTACTCAGATTCCTTAAGAGATGCCTTTCTACGGTGTGGCCCACCAAAAGGCGACGTCTGCCGTCATATCTCTCTAGCAGCACACAAGATGTCAATCTTTTCTGTATCATTCCAGTTTTGGTATATGTGCCACCGAAGCGAGTATGGAGTTGATTTTCCGTTAGTGAGCTGATTCTGATGAGGTTACCGAGATAGCGATTTTTACGGACGTCACTTGCACGTTTCTTGGCCAGGTTATCGTTGACTGTTTTCTAACCTAATCCTACTTCATTTAAAATAAGAAAACAAAAATACATGACGATATACCATTGTATCACTCATTAACCAAATATAAATGTATACATTTGTCTTTAAGCCACACTATTTGTTTGTTGGTTAGTGATATTACTCAGTTGTTTAAATGGAAGTGTATATGTGCGCAAGGGAGTCAATGGAAAATGCAACCTAATCATTCAATACTTAAATTACTAGATCACTCTACTCATACCCCCCCTCTATATCAAGGCAGCTATTAATGATTTTTTTCTCTAGCTAATCCTTCCACAAAAATGTACTCTACAATTATAAATGTATGCACTATGCTTAAATATTAAACAATCCATTATAATTCATTTCATTTTTAACACTCACTTAATTTAAAAAGAAATGTAATCTTTATATTTGGTAGATAAACAACATTCATTCGGATAAGATTATTTATTCAGTGCAATTCATTGTGCATATATATATGTATATATCACGTTTAATCGATTGTACACATAAGGGATTCAATAGCTAGCTAGCTAGCTATACAGGTCGCTTAAATGAAACACATTACAGTTTAAAAAAACAAAGATTTCCATGTTTATTTTTTTCATATCGTTTGCATATGCTATTACTGACTTAAATCACAGCTTTCGTTGAAATGAGTTGTTGTTGTTGATCGAGTGAAGAAATTACATCGCCTATAATTTATTGATCATCTTGTGTTCACATCGAATTCATTGAATTTTATTTTTCGTTTTAAAATCTTAGTATATACTTGAGCATTATTCTTTCTATAGTCCGTTTTGCTACTATCAGTACTCACCTATCTTACTACTACTATCAATTTGTACTCTTACTTATTATGTGTAACAACATAATCTATTTCATTGTGATTATTAACTCAAATTGCCTTGATTGGTTTAATATTTTCATATAACTATTCATGTTAATTAGAAAGTAAAGCCTGAGATGACGATCTAATTGAAAACAATACTATTGTTCGTTTATATGTGTTGTTCTAATTTATTTCAAACATGGATGGAGACTAGTTTCTAGAGTAAAGTTTTAAACAAAAAAGCTTAACATCCTAACATTTTGGTAAATCGGTTCAAAATATATGTTTAGATTATAAGCTCATGAATTCTCTTGCATGCTCAAAGCGGAAATAGCTCTCTTCCCAACCTATGAATGTTTGTAGACAATCTCTAATAACTTTGGAAATCTCCCTTGTAACTTTATTCTTATCAAAGCTTGTGCTTCTACATTTGTGCATTTGTTTTCAGAGATTTACTTTTTGTCCAGTCTATTCTTGTTTTCAATCATCTCTAATCAAATATAAAGTGTATTGGTCAAACAATATGAATAGAGAACTAAACAAGCTACCTGGTGTATTTATTCTTTGTTTTCTATGAAATTCTAACCTCTATCTTTCTCTTTCTAAATTTACCTCACTGAATTATACTTCTTGAATAACATCCTCGAACCCTAATTTCTCCGATTACTTCTAATCCTTTTACTATCTCTACTACCATGAGATTTGATCTCTGTGCTAACTGTGATAAGACAACTTGGACGGCTGTACTCACGTACAAAGTTCTACGTTGCTGTTGATGATGACGAAACAATCTACAATATTTTATAGCTCAATAATAGCCTGCAGTAAAATACTAATACTGAGTAGTGAGATATTCCCCTATTTATACGACATAATGAAAGGGAAAATGTAGATTCTGTCACAACAAAATTTCATCTCAAATTACATATATATATATATATATATATATAAGCTAATACTGTGAAATTTTTATTTTAATACTTCATTTCCAATTTGTTCTTTTTTTTAGTAGTAACAGCATTTCGTGAACAGCTTACAGTGCATAAAACTTTACTATTCCATCATAACAGTTATTCAGCTTATTCTCTGTGGTGTTTCCATGTACAGGGTTGCTTAAGGTTTCGTTTATCATTATCTCAGATAGCATCTAAGAAATGTGAATCTAACATAACTTTGTAATATAAATTAAACAGAGAATTTAATGTCATTTAATTATGTTTTACTCTCCCCAAAATCGAATTGATCATACACAGCCGCCTTCAGATAAACCGATGTCCAACAATAACAAACATAATGATTGACTAGTAAGATTGTTTTCATTTTCAATGATAAAACAACAATTTTAAAAAACAGATCGTATGTGTTGTTTTTTTTCATTTGTAGTGCACGTCTAGCAGCTCTGGAAGACAACGAAGAACTCATTCGTGATATGATGCGACGTAAAGAGAAAATGGCGAAAAAAAGGCAGCAATTTCTAAACGACAATGATAACGATTAGTTTTTTTTTCACATTATGATTATTACTACTATTATTTTTTCTACTTCAAGTTCACCGTTGTCTTTCTGTGAAATGTATATGCTTGTATTATTACTGTTGTGCAAATGTAATTTCTTGTCTGTTTTTAAAGTGTATAATTGATTACATTGTATTTTTTTTTTTGAAAAATCTAACAAGGTAACAATATAATCTATGTGACATATAATATGTGGTTGGTAAAAATGGTTTTCATAAAATCTAATCATGTTGACAGGATGAAAAAAAAAAATCTCAATGAGAAAAAAACACCTAATAATTGAATTAAATTAATTCATACTGAATCTGTGATTTTTTCGAGTTATTTGTTTTCTCTCGATTATTACTGGCCATCAAATGTGTTGTCATCGTTTGGAATGAACTGAAAGTTCATATAAGACCAGATCATGTATGTATATATGTTAAAAACTAGAATATTATTTGTTGCATAGAACCTGACGACCGTGTACAAGTAAAACTATGTTTTTTTTTTCATGAGTTATCTTTCAGCAGTCTACAACTGGAAGCCTCATATATTTGGCATTGCGGATTAATAATCTTGTTTTATCTAGTACTACAAACTAGAAGCAGCAGTTTATTCAAATAGTTGCGAGGTAATAACTTAACAGAGTAGAACTACGCATTAGAATTAGCATCCATATTTTTTAATCGAACAGCATATGGTTAGTTAGTTGTTGAATAATGATTAAATTCTTTGAGGTTGAAATGAAAAAGTAGGATCAGAATACAAATATCTAGTTCAGCATTACGGGGTTGTGAAGATTGGTAAGTTATACATTTTTGAAATCATGAATCGATCAATGTTAGACCACCATTAGAAACCTGGAAGCACTGGATAGCCGTTTCGTGCTGGTATGGGACTCTTCAGCAGTGCGCATCCACGACTCCTACACCCCGCGTTCGCTCACAATGCTGGAGTTCCTGGGTTCGAATCCTGTGGGGTGCAGGAGTCATGGCTGCGCACTGCTGAAGAGTCCCATACCAGGACGAAACGGCCGTCTTTCAGTGCTTCCAGGTTTCTAATGGTGGTCTAACATTGATCGATTCATGGTTTCAAAAATATCTAGTTTTGTTTAAATTTATCAAAACCAAAAATCAATATACTAATTGTTTTTAGTAATACAAGTATAAAATTCATGTAGATCATCCTAAATGAGAAAACTGACTGATCATTATGAAAAAAACTGGATTTTGAATTCAATAAAATGTAAATAAGAGCAGTTAGATGCATCACGTTTAAAGACTTGCAAGTAATGTTATTTAACGGTTAGGTGTGATTCACTAGCCTGAAAATAAGTTATAACAAAATCGATATCATTTGAAGTACTCCAGAGGTCATGAGAACAACCATTGACGAACTATGTGTATGTGTTACTGAATCAATAATTTTTGCACGCACAGTTACTTTAGTTTATAGATTATGGAATATATGCAGATAGACGTTAAAATTCACATAAATGTGGTGTGGTCACTTTTTTTCAAAAATCGTTCATGTTATAGAACGTTAGATTTCTTTCGATGATGAGCTGTTTTTTTTTCTTAAATTAACTGAATTGACAAATAAGTAGGCTATGTATACTACAAGAATAATAACAGCCGGCAAGTGGGAAGCCACATCCGTGCAAACGGGGAGTGACTAATCTGGTCGTGTTAAGAGTGTCTAATACTAACCTTGATGACCTTGACCCAATAATCTCACCTAGTCTAGAGCAGTCTAAAAGGTACACAACAATATTGTAGTTTGCGATCAGACGCTGTGGCCAATAAAACAGAATAGCGAATGATAATTATTTTCACGTCGAAAAGGTAAGTACCGAGTGATTGACGGGTGACTTACACTCAAATGATACAAACAAACAAACAATAGACATTCAATATCGATGCAGTTACATTTACAACATACAGCAGAGGAAAACTCTGATATTCAATTACAGTTAGGAGAAATTTCAAATTTACGTCTTACTATATGGTTCATGCTGTCTTAGTTGTACACAAAGGACTGTTGTGAATTGCTAGGATGAGGTGAGACTTCATAAACACATTAAGACAGCCATTATTCAGGTGTCTGACCAATAAGTTGTTTTTCATAAGAGGTCATCTTTATTTACAAATTTATCTGGGCTTTCTAATTGTATAGATGTACGTATTGTGTTATATCTATTTAACAAAGAGCATATGGATTACTCACACTTATATCCGTGCTACAAATATTTAGTACAAATAAACAATTTGAGTAGATGGTATTATATTTTTATCGACATACGGAATAGTTCTACTCGTCAGATTATGCTTGTTAGGATATCCATTAACAATGTGCTTGATAACACCATTGAATACGCCAAATGATCGGTTTCTCACATAAATTTCTCATTTTTTCCCCAAACTACCAGTTAGATCAAAATGACTGAATAAGTGACTTGTATCAGTTTGTATTATGGCCCATGGGGAGAGAATACGTCGTTAAGTTACAAGTATTTGATTGTAGGTGTCTTTGAAGCATTTCTTGTAAATAGTGGAACTACTGAGTAAGGAGTGCTGAGGTTAGCACATGATACTAGGTAAGAAAGCTAACTCTATTGTGTTAAGGATATCCTCCATCGATTATAGTGGTCATGATATGTTACACTTTCTTAGTTTCCTCCAAAGATAGACATAGTATCCATTCATGAAATCACTGGTTGGAGCTGTGAGTCGAATCTGTTGATGATACCTCCTGATAGAAGCCGGTACAATACCCGTAATCAATTGTGGATATCGGGTGATATGACCGAGATTTGATCATAGTGAAATCGCTCGATTCATACTTTATTTTCAAATGAACCTTTGAGTTGAAGGTTGTTCCAAATTTTCGTTCATAGTTTTACACTGAAACCATTTGGCTCAAACAACAAAATACTAGTAAAAGCATCTAAGTAAGTTAGAAATCTCATAGGTCACTTCATATCACAGTTCAAACGCAAATACACTTCGATGATTTGAGTAAGTGAAATAGCTTTCTCTTATTTTGATTTAAATGAATAAATGTTACATTATTTTCTACTAAGTATGAACTGCGTTTTATTATTATCGCTTGTATAAGTAATTATCAAATGAAGTTTTTTCATGTGGTGACACAAAACACGTCAGATAGACAAACAAGACAACTAACTAAGTAATTAATACATGTACAATATATAGAAGAAAGATTATTTATTTGTAAGTCATATACGTAGTCAACATTCTAAATTAATATTTAGTTTGTTGAATTATAGGTACTCTGAAAAAAAAAATCGAACTATTGATTTGAAACTAGCAAATAACCATTATTGACAAGCATTGGATATTTTTGTCTGTTTAACAGAATAGTCCAATTGAAAGAAACGGATTTAATAATCATTGATAACATGCATGATTTTAAGAAATAAGTTGAAAAGATCATTCATTAACTAGATAAACAGGTTTAAACTTCATTATCTAGTTAACTTATCATCTATCATATACATAAAAAATGGTCCTGAATGAATGTTAAAAGACTGATCTATCTCGAATTGTCGACTTAACACTCAATATTGATTAAGTGTACATGGTTTCTCATGGTTAAGTAAGTAGTCAGGACTAAATTTTAATCAATTTCTTTCAATATCTAAGAACCAAAGGCATATTTTTACAATTTTTCGAAACCATGAATCGATCAATGTTAGACCACCATTAGAAGCCTGGAAGCACTGAAAGACGGCCGTTTCGTCCTGGTATGGGACTCATCGGTGGCAGTGCACATCCACGACTCCTGCACCCCGCAGGACTCGAACCCAGGACCTTCGGTATTGTAGGCGAACGCCTAACCATCAGACCACTGAACCGGTATCTAACGGTGTTAATGTCTAACTTGATCAATTCACAAGGTAAATAATATATTTAGATGGTGGTTAGTAATGAAATCCAAGAAGTGCACTCAATCTACTTAACTACTGATGTTTAAGAATGAAGTGCTGATATAACTGTGTTTAAAAAGTTCCAAATACACATCTAGGATTTGATTAGTACTGAACTGCACACCTCTAGAATATGATTTGCTATATATAATAAATACAATTCAATGTTTTCGTTTAAACAAACTACATATGTGAGTGAGCTAAACATATAACCTAAATAAATTCATTAATATTGGAATATTCGATTAAGATTTGATCAATAAGAATGAACACTCACACCAATGAACATAAATAAGAACTTTATTGTACACAAATGTTTTTCCCAAAGATTGTACACAGAAAATATTCAAATAAAGTTAACCAACCATCGTGAATAGGTGTATTAGTTTATATTATAAATAGAATTAACAAATACAATGCTTATTTTTGCTAAAGTAGCGATCTATACTCATTAGATTTGTATTTGTAATAATAATAATAATCTGCTATCGATTTCGTGATATCAACTTTTCCTTTCTATATTATATATTATTTAAACTATGACTACTATATATTTATAGCAGCTTGTGTCTAAATTGAAGTTATTTTAAGTCTCAGGAGAGTAGGTTTAAGGAAAGCTAGAAGAAAGAATAGCAGAATGAGTCGACGAATCAATAAATAAGCACATAGAATACACATATATTTAATCATGAAAACAATTGGTAACAGTTAAGAGTAACGCATGTTTGAGATAAAGACTATACGATTATTGCAACTATAGTATGGATAGGATGAGATTGAGTTGCTGTTATAATATTTTTGAGTGGATAGATTTTCTATTATGATCAAGTGAAATTTAAGTTTTTTTAATATTGCTTTAAATAGATATGTGTTATCAGTTACTTGCGGAAAGCAAGCAACTGAGTCACAAGACAAGCACTCACTTGGAACCCTCAATGTCAAAGGAAAAGAGGAAGGCCAAGAAACACACACAAAAAACGGAGACAGTAATGAGAAGAATGAAGAAACGTTGGACAGAACTGGAGAGAGAGGCCCAGAACAGAGTCAGTCAGTCAGTCAATTACAATGTAGAATTTCGTATGTATGTATAGAAGTTCAGGTTGCCATACCACATTAGCACACAGATGCAATTGGCAATTGAAATCCAATAGAAGTAGAAGTAGCAAAAGTATTAGAAGTAATCGGAGAGATTAGGGTTCTAAGACATTATTCAAGAAGTATAATTCAGTGACATAATTTAATAACGAGAA